ACACACACACACACACACACACACACACACACACACACTACACACACACACACACACACACACACACACACACACACACACACACTGCTGTATATACTACACACACACACACACACACACACACACACACACACACACACACACACACACACACACACACACACACACACACACACACACACTCACCTGGCCCAGTATGGCGTGTCTGTTCTGCGTGATGTGAGCGTAGATGTTATCGAAGTTTCCCAGGTTCATGATGAACATCGCCATCATGCTCTCAAACGGCGTGCCAAACGGCTCGAACTTATCTCCCGTCGTGTAGTCTCGGAATATGACGAACATAGCTGCAAACACCATCGATCATTGATCACAGGTAGATAGCTCATCTGGTGTGAATGATAAGACATGTTATGTGGTGAATAGATGGATGGATGGATGGATGGAACGACGGACGGACGGACGGGCGGGCGGGCGTTCGGGCGGGCGGACGGACGGACGGACGGACGGATGAATGGATGGATGCATTGTTGGTTGGATTGACTGGACGGACGGACGGACGGACGGACGGGCGGACACACGGACGGCGGGACGGACAGACGGACACGCGAACGGACGGACGGACGGACGGAAGGATGGACGGATGAATTGATGGATGCATTGTTGGTTGGATTGACTGGACGGACAGACGGACACACGGACGGACGGACGGAAGAAGGGATGGATGCATTTTTGGTTGGATTGATTGGATGGATGGACGGACGGACAAACGGATGAATACCTTGCGAGGCTCCCATGAGAAAGATCATGTAGATCGTGACGAATCTTAGCAGATCGCCTTTGATCATCTTGTAAATCATGACAACGAACGGACCGATTTTCTTGAATCCCCTGCAACGTAGCAAGAAAGACAACGCATGCGCACTGACAACAAGGTAAGGTTGTCGCGTTAACAATAAACGTCTATAAGTTATACTCTACAGAAATCAATATACGGTCGTCTTTTGCGTAAGGCGTCCGTAAGTGAGAGTTAGACCCCTGGCGTCGGCTTTGCTTGCTTTGACTTCTAAGACTGGTCTTGAGAAAGGTGTGCGAACAGAAGAAGAACAAATGTGGCGAAATTCCCTCGTAGATACAACGTAGATACGATGGTCAATAGCCAACAACAGACTGCTCACGGTCAACCTCCCAGAACACAAACCGCGTGTGGCTTCTCACCCTTAAGACAAAATGAGTTAGCTACGGTCCTGTCGTTTCACGAGATATCCATTGACATACCGACAGAAAAATAACCAATATGGCGCCGTCGTGAGCACAGCGAGGACCGCCATGATGTATTCGCTCTCGCACCAGCAGAAGATTCTGGCCGGCAGCATGAACATGATCAGAGCACACGAGACGAGAAAGATGGCGCGCGCCGGGGTCGTCATCTGCAAAACATCCAGATGGCGCCACCATAGCACGGTTGTCAACATGTCGAGCAGCGGTATTACATGATGGGTGACGTCATGAAAATACATTAGGATTAGGCGTAGCTATAGAATTAGGATTAGAACTAGGATTAGGGTGAGGGTTAGTGGCGGGATTAAGGTTATGGTTAGTGAGTGGGTTAGTGTTAGTGATAGTATTACGGTTACAGTTAGTCATATGGTTAGGATTATTTATAGGGTTAGAGTCAAGGCTAGGGGTAGGGTTAGGGTCATGGATAGTTATAGCGTTAGGGTTAATGCTGGGGTTGATGTTAGCATTAGAGTTACGGCTAGGGTTAGATTAATGGTTATGACTAGGGTTAGAGGTTATGTACCCAGGCCACATGCTATTCCCTAGATAGACCCTGATTGGTATCCCCTTGCAACATGGAATTCAATGGTAACCAAGTAACAAACTTGCTGCCAGCGCATGCCGTAGGTGAGATATGTGTGCAATTTCTGATGACCAAATGAATGTAGAAACGTCCGCAATGGCTAAAATGAACAGTTCTTGCCCACGTCACGACTAATATCATTTAAGCGCAATAATTATGTAAAAAAATACGTTGTCTTACTAGCGTGCTGAGAAATGAAGCCAGACCCTGGTAACCAATCTCCCGGCCTGCAAGGAGCAAGTAGCAGCAAGCGCCTCCTAGTGTTAGAAGTTCCAGCGGCAGTCGCACCTGTCAAACGCGTCAGTCAAACAACCGGAAAATGAGAGTTAAAAATAGAACATGTTTTTGCTTGGATGCATATTGTAACTTGGAAACGAATCAGTAAATCAAAATGAGAAATATCTAGCGAGACCAAACCCAACTAAAATCTTCATTTACTCAGAGGAATATGTGTTTTATATGCAAATGTTTTCGGTCAATTATATAAAGCTATAAAATTACTTTTATTTTATGAGCAATCATTGTAGTTGCCAATGACCTCGTTGCCTTTATCGAGGTAAAAAACGGTGATTGACCTTCTCCACAGATTGCAGCAGGTTACAAAGGCCAAATAAATTGAATGGCCTAAATAATTACTTAATTAATAAATAAAATAAATATTTCCTTGCATTACGATTGAATCTAATTATATATATATAATAAGTACATTATTAGATTATATTACTATGTCTTCCGGGCTCGTCGTTATGCGAAGGTAACACTTGTCGCTGATCTCGCAGGTGACAGAGGTCACTGGGTTGTGAGATTGAGTCGTAGAAGACGGTTCACGATTGTCGACGGTGGTTAGTGACATCTCCGGCCGTGTTGGTAGAGCTAGTGGGACAGCGTTAGCAGTGGTCAGTGGTTGCTCTGGTCGTGCTGGGAGAGCTAGTGGGTCAGCGTTAGCAGTGGTCAGTGGTTGCTCTGGTCGTGTTGGGAGAGCTAATGGGACAGCGTTAGCAGTGGTCAGTGGTTGCTCTGGTCGTGCTGGGAGAGCTAGTGGGTCAGCGTTAGCAGTGGTCAGTGGTTGCTCTGGTCGTGTTGGGAGAGCTAGTGGGTCAGCGTTAGCAGTGGTCAGTGGTTGCTCTGGTTGTGTTGGGAGAGCTAGTGGGTCAGCGTTAGCAGTGGTCAGTGGTTGCTCTGGTTGTGTTGGGAGAGCTAGTGGGTCAGCGTTAGCAGTGGCCAGTGGTTGCTCCGGTCGTGCTGGGAGAGCTAGTGGGTCAGCGTTAGCACTGGTCAGCGGTTGCTCTGGCCGTGTTGAGAGAGCTAGTAGGACAGCGTTACCGGTGGTCAGTGGTTGCTCTGGTCGTGCTGGGAGAGCTACTGGGTCAGCGTTACCGGTGGTCAGTGGTTGCTCTGGTCGTGCTGGGAGAGCTACTGGGTCAGCGTTACCGGTGGTCAGTGGTTGCTCTGGTCGTGACTTGTGAGGAACCTTAGGAGTGTCAGCAATGTTCACTTGTGTCTGTGATTCTGCAGATGTTCTAACATCGTCAATGGTCAGTGATGCTTTAGGATCTTTCGGCGGGGTGTCAAAGGTGAGCGCTTGTGTGTATGATTCCGTGGTGCTGGCTGGCACGCTAACATCAACAGTGGTCAACGGATTTCGAGGACCTTTAAGAGTGGCAGAAGTAGACGTTAGTGTCGGTTGCCTTGTAGCGTAGGTAGGTAGGGATTTTGCATCATCAGTGGTCAGTTGTGTGTGTGGTTCCGTGGATTGGGCTGGTACATTAACACCAGCAGTGGTCAGTTGTGCGTATGGTTCCGTGGATGGAGCTGGTCCATTAGCAGTAGCCAATAACTTGACTGTTGTAGCTTTCACGCAGGGGTCGGTAGAGGCTGAGCGATCGAGAGACCCTACTGGGGTACTCGGCTTCCACGACGCGTCGGAAGGTGTTAGTTCCTCCTTGCACCACGCGGGGGAGCCTGGATCGGACAATTCAGTAGCGGTGGTTCGACCTAGTGGGCAGTTGGTGATGGGCGGACCAGGCCTGAGTAGGAATGCCAGCATGAATATCGTAAAGTAGATGCCAAAGATGATCATCTGCTTGAGGAACCTACAAGCATGAAGGATGACGATGGCGTGATGAGCTGCCGTAGTGTGGGAATAGTGCATAGATACGTGGGGGCCGTTGTCAGAAACATCGTAAAGTTAATGCTAAAGTTAATGCTAATGTTAATGCTAATGTTAAGACTAATTTTGTTTCTGACAACGGGCCCCTGGTAGTGTAGGAAATTGTCTGCTCAGATGTAGGTATTTTTGTATACGTTATGTGATGGTTATGTACATGTTATTAATTGTTTCTGCTATTTTGAACTACATTTACAAGTTTATTCGGGCAACGACTGTAGCAAGGGAGTCACGGTGAGGGCTACAGAGCTCTGCTATGGGTTTTGTGGTTTGGGTGATGGAGTGGAGGAGGTGAGAGACAGGTCAGACTCTTCTGGAGTAGAACGGAGGTATAACTAGTGTTGTTACATCGAGATTGCAATGTACCTGAATTTTGCGAACGTGTTCCATTTGCGTTGCAGCAGTTCTGACAGTAATCCGTCCATCATGTCTAGATGCTCCGGTTTATCCTACGAGAGCAACACAACAACGAGAACACTTCCGATTAGCGAGAACTGTGCCAAATTATAGCGTCGTGATTGATGCTAACAGATATATATTGTTGTGGGTGTATATCTTAAATTAAAATTAATCTGAATTTCAACTTTTATTATGAAGCCAATCTCAGATATACTCGCTAGGTCGGGTAGGCTCACCCTGACGTACGCGGTGCATGCCACTACGGAATGTTTTTAGAACGTCGTGCTGCGACACGGGTTGGCTAGAGCAACATGACAATCGCAGATAGGCCAATAATGTAGACTTACATAGAATAAATATATATATATATAGAGAGAGAGAGAGAGAGAGAAGAGTGTAGAA